ACAAGTATTTTAACATATATTCAAACGCGCCACAAGAAGCTCACACCTTTCAATCGGCGTCATCGCTATATGAACTATATATATATGAACTACAGTATATGAAAACGAGTTCCGACAACTGGGGTGAAAAAGCATCGTGTATTGTCACAATGTGAAATACACATTGTATTGCATTGGCCTGAAAACTGGCTATTTATATAGAGAGAAAAATCAATTATGTATGTAATTTATACTTACTATTCCTAGACCTGCATAAGTCCCGCATGTAATAAGTCGTGAGTCCGGCCTGTACTGCTGAGAGGATCGGGATAGAGCTGGATTCTGAGAACAATAATAGACTTGAAGTGAAATGTACAACAATTTTCATAATTCGCGTCTGCTACTGCAGTTATCATTCATTTTAATTGCTTTCCATTTGTACTTCTCAGGTACAATCTGACTTACGGCGGAACTGCTTACTACAAAGGTAAGAAGTACACATCACATCAATATAATACTATGTTGCTTCTTAGTACGAACACTTTGTTGTATGCCTTGGTTGTGTTGTACAATATTCGCTGAAATATGAACGATACTTAGCAAATGTTCCCATCGCGAGTATAACCTCCTATGACGTCATCATACGTATTTGTTAGCGCTACAGAGTTCAATTTTTTCGATGGTTACAGGTTTATCATTCCCGGACTCCATCTGCAAATTTTCCCCCATATCTGTTGTTGAGGATACGTACGACACCCGGACCGTGGGCTTCTTCGGACAGGAAATAGGTCGTAGGTAGGTGTGATATACGTGCGCACTATCAGTAGGGTACGTACCCACGCAGGGAATAGGTAAAGCACGTGTACCGTCAAGTCCTGACAAACAGGACAAATATAGGTATGTTTATATTGTAACGACAAATCTTTTCAAGTTACTAAAATAATTCATTGCCTGGTATACATTTATCTTTGATATACATCATATAACTTACCTCTCTCGATACGCCACAACGCGTCAAACGGAAACTATGCACGAAACCAGCTGGTAAAGTTGAAACACCATTCATTCGATACACAAACGACGTAACAGCTCTTCAAAGAGTACGGAAAAGAATGTGACGTAATAACTTTACAGAAAAGTATGTGACGTAATAGTTCTGCACAAAAGTTTGCGACGTAACAGTTTTACAGAAAAGTATGTGAGTAACAGCTCTGTAGAAAAAAGGTGTACGGGAAAGTATGTGACGTAACAGTTCTACAGAAAAATATGTGACGTAACAATTCTACAGAAAAATATGTGAGTAACAGCTCTATGGAAAAAAATGTGACGTAACGGTTCTAAAAAGTGTTCGGGAAAGTATGTGACGTTACATTTTTACAAAAGAGTGTGTGACGTAACAGTTCTACAGAAAAATATGTGACGTAACAGGTATACAGAAAAGTTTGTTGCATAAAAGTTTTACGGAATTATGTTGCAGTTATTTAGAAAAGCATGTGACATAAGAGTTACCCGGGAAAAGTTTGTAACTTATACATTATTGAGAAAAGCACGCGATGTCATATCTATATGGAAAAAGCACGTGACATATAACTAATCCGCAAAATCATGCAACGTAAAAGTGTTTCGGAAGACAATATGACGTGAAATCCATAAAGAAAAGCACGTGACGTTATAATAACATGAAAGAAGTTACATAACATTTATACGGAAAAGCTTTTAGGCAATTAAGGCGTTAAATATAACTAGAGACAAACAATTGATTTTGAAGTGTTATACACTGACTAGGGTTTTAATGACCACGTTTGTGTTGAGTGATCAGTGTTGTGTTGTAGTCTTGGAGCAAGACTCGACCTAGACGGAAACTTCTGTCTGTCGACTAAGCTGAACATGATGACGCCCAGGTTCCGCTTTCCGCCGGATGAAGCTCGAGCTAGAAACCTTTGGCAGTTTTCTCCGTGTTCCATCAGCTACTTCAAGGAATACATCGGGGAGCTTCAAACGTATGTGATTAAAGTTTAAAATCAAAGTGTAATTATTTTAATATAATAAAATGAAGTGCACAGAGATCAGGTGATCGTATAGTCGTCTCGGTGATGCCAATCATATCACGGCTCAAAAAGATGTCGATGGAATAAGAGCAATAAAGGCGTAAAAAACTTTCAAAATGGATGAAACTGTTTGAGTCGTGAGTGCCATCTTTTCGTGGTATCTTTGACTTTCACTTATCTCGGTATCCTTTCTCTTTCCATGCCTTTATATAGTCTTTAGGGGACTTGTCCGCATTATTCAAGCGTTAAGCTGCATCCATTTCATAATTCAATGATCCTGTATAACTCAACGGGTTGTTAAAAGTCCAACACCTACTAGATATAATTTGAGCTCTTGTAGATTTCTGTGAACGATGTGCTGTTGTAACCATGACTACGTCTATGTACAGTAACTGTCTGGTGGACTCGTATGGAAACCAGTATCCCGAGAACCTGCATGAATACCTCCGGGAGTTACCTGGTGACACGTACGGTGCCGACCAACAGTGCAGACTGACCAACGGTCAAAACTCCTATGTCTGTCGGGTAAAGAACTACCGTAATAATACATAGTGTTTGTTGTGTTAGGCTCCGTTCGATAAATTACCGGTATATGGTCGTGAAGACCAATCAATCAATCAATCAATTAATCAAAAAGGCGTTCAACATGAAGCTGTCTGGTCACAGGATCTGGTTGCAATTAGTTATATGTTGGAGGAGCATTTTTCTAGCAAAACACTCACAACTTATCCTCCAAACAATGCTAACAAAACCCTGTGATCTGGGTATTCATCGTCATGATAAAGTCTAGCTGGTTTTGACTGAACTGAGAATTTCACCAATAGGCACTGATGGTGTCCTGTGATCTGTCCTTGTGTTTATATAATGTGCTATACTTTTACCAATACTAACAATATCACCTCATCTTATTTTGATCATTTCTGATTTCCAAATATATATACAGATTAATGAAGAAAAAAATAATATATTTTTCAATTACGAGTTAAGTATCTTTCAACAACATGTTTTTATATAGTTCCTCGCTGTAAGGACACACATTTTTCGTATTATCAGAATCCTTTAAACGTGGTCGTATGTACAGGGGGAACCTTAACCACAAAATGGTCTGTATATACCAATATATGTACTAAAAGATTCATATTTCAAGGTACATTTACCCAGAACATTAATTAAACATTCTGATTTACTAACAGGACCTCATCATGGACTACTCAACTATTTGCCGCGGGATGCCATGCTTTGTTCCGGAAACTGGTTCATGCGCACTTCTGCTTCCGGCAGACGGTACCCTATGTGGAAATCATTCGGTATGCTATATTTTACGAAGCACAGACACATTTTAACGCTTGAGTGAAAAATTATAATGTGTTACTGAATTTTGTTTTCCTCTTAAATTCAACTGAGACTTATATTTGCGGTTGTAAATCAACTGCATTCTTATTCATTTTAAGAACGTTTTGTCTTAATCAGCCTCCCACCTTAATCATCCAAATCAAGATAAGTCGTCCGTTCATCCCACTGACCAAAAACGCCCGGATGATTTCTTCTAGACTAACAGACTAATTTCAACGTAACTTTCCACGCTTGACAAGTGTATCATGTAACTGCGCAATCTGCAATGAGTTTACAGTTTCGACTCTTTTCACCATTGTTGCCTGATTTTGCCATTTGAGGCAATTACAAGACAACTAGTTCTTCTGAAATATCTCACCGATTTCAATGCAAATTTATGAGAGACAAGGGGAGAGCGACAAACATTTTCAACAGCTTTAAGTTTCAGGATTAAAAAATTTAAACTTCGTCGGAGATTTAAGGGATATCCTTATTATACAAAGCAGTCAACTTTTAAGTTTCGGGATTCAAGATGACTGTCCTTGCCTTTGATTGGTTCATACTTTTACGCCCGTAAATATCACGTGCAATGCTTAATTCATTTGCGGCTGCAGTGATAGTTAGGGGACATTGATAACGGGCCCAGTTACGGATAGAAATTGTTAGAACTGGACACTGCCGAAAATATTACCAACAGACATTTATATAATTACATGACTACTTTTGTTTTCACCTTATAGTTGCATACTTTGTGTACATTATTTTCAATTGGTGTTTGGATGAATGTATTTGTTCGCCTTTGATTAACAGTTCTAAGTTTGATTAAAATTCACTTGTAATTCATGATTTTGTCAGAAATGTAACCAAGGCGTGTGTGAAGCAGACGTAACAGCCCCGGCAGCTGTAGGTAGGTCATAATAATGTCAGATAACCCAGCACTTACACCATGTCGTCAACAACACAGCATTAATAAACAGTATTCGTCCATACCTATTTGGGTACATGTGTCACAAATCGTCCCTTGCATTAATTTATATTTTTTGTCAACTTAATAAAACGAAGCTTTTTAAAGTGAAGATTTCATGAAACCCAAGTCATATAACTTCTGTATATTAATAAGTCTCTAAGAAAGAAAATGTAATATGGGACTTTTGATATTTTAGAAGTAGTTGACCATAAACTGATAGTGATACTGAATCTGTTTGTATCGTTGCCTAGGCAACTGCATGAGCATTATTGGATATAAATAGTATTGTGCATTGGAAAACTTTGTCTTTTTTGTAAATGGTAGCGTAACCTATGTGACTGTCACAATTAATTGAAGCGTTACCTAGGCAACTGTCAAAGCGTTACATAGGAAGCTGTCACAAAATGTAATTCGTAGCGTTGCCTAGGAAACTGTGGCACTGCTTATATCAACTGTGGCGTTACCTAGAAGACAGTGTTACTGTATGTAAATTGTAGCGTTGCTTAGGTAATCATGAATTACTTCTTCTGTATATTTCAGTAATTACCTAAGTAACTGTGTATTACGCATT